CCCCAAAACCCCAAAACCCCAAAACCCCTAGAAAAGTAAATCAAAAACATAGAGTTAACTTGATAAAATGAATTATGAATTTATTATCATGGCTGTAATTAAATATTGTCCATTGGATAGAGTTATTCCTAGAAACTACCACCCATTCTTATCATAACACCCTCTACTTTATTGAAGAATGAGTATTCTATATCTAGTTTTTCCTTTCTACCTTGTCTCAATTTATACCTAGAGAAAATATAACACATAAAAATTACCAGACTGCAATTAAAAATGCTAAATTATAGAATGATAGGAAGGTCCTTGCAAAGAAGAACTTTTCGGGAGTAAGGTTATATGATATTTGTGTTCCTAATTTCATGGCATTCCAAATAGATCCCAAAATCAAAGGGAAGACACAGTTTGGTGTTGGAGTATCAATTAGCATCAAGCCAATAACTGAGAGCATAAATGCAAACTTTGTAAAAGCTAATCTTTTCTTCCTCATCCCATACTACAGTTCTGGGTCTTATTTCACGATTGTTCTATAATCTATATATCCCAATCCACAAGCTGCAGAACCCTATTTCTCTTTAGTTGTATAAATTTACCTCAAGTGCATTTAGGCAGGCAATCCAGCCTACAGCAAATTGAAAAGCTTAAAAGAATGCATCTGAACAAGGATCTGCCCATATAATTTGATAAGTCAAGAAAGTTTATGGTAGTGTTGAACTGAAAATCAACGCTGAAGCAAATCTTGGGGTCTATATGCAATTGTAAGATTTTAAACTATATAAATTACGAGATTCTCAATTATCTTTTAAGCTTTGACTTCTTTTTTGGCTTCCTTTGCTTGAGTCAACATAGCTTGATATTCTTGAGATCCTTTCTTTGGAATCTTATACTCTAAACACTATTAATATTGCATTTCATACATCCAGTGACATAGGTAGAAGATTATTTTTAAACAGGTTCAGGTCCCTTTGGCTTATGATTTTAGGCTCTGGCTCTGTACCCACCGAATTAAATCTAGGAAAGATATAAAGTTTTGTTGAGAGGAAATTGAGTTCTTAATTTTGACAACATCGCCATTAAACAATTATTAAAATTAAAAGCAGAGGTCTAAACTAGTGATTATTAATACTCTTAATATATATTTAAAAATTATGTAATTGTATTTAACTTAGTAATTTAGTGCTTGTATTAAGTGAATTTGTCATCGCATTAATAATTGTCGTTATTAAAACTATGGAATCAGAAGACTTATAACAGACTGCTGAAGTCACTAAAGAGTATACACCTCAATTTATCATAAATTAAACCTCTTAGAAATGAAATATTGAAGGAGTAAACTCCTGAGAAGAAGCCTACATAGGTGAGTCTATATGTCGAGGATAAGCTGTTAAAGCGCACACAAAGGGATATAAAGAAATACAAATTTTGTGTTTTTCAAGGCAATTATCCTCAGTTCATTAGAGATGCTTTCGCTCTAAGAGGTTATAATATTCCTTACTTATTATTGATATAGGAAACTGGCAAGAGGTTGAACCATAAGTTGAAGCAATACTTAACGTCGATTTTATTTGGAAACCGTTCAATTTTACTAAATCTGTAAGTTAACGCAATTATTGTAAATTTTAGGGTTTTGAGCTTTTTGAAAAAAGAAAAGATGATAATCGAAAGCCAATAATGTACAATCACTATGAAAATATTTCTGTTCTCTCTACAAAGGCTGGACTGCTTAAGACATTAAGAGACTACTATTCGTTGAATAAGCAAGCTGTAGACTGTAATTACAGAGTCCATGATACTTTGCCTCAGGCATACATAATTACCTCCAATCCTAATGATTACGAGTTCTTTGAGTTTAAGAAAAAATTTGCTAATATTGAAAAAGGATATGTATATAATGAGAAGCTAACTCCCAAGTAATATGATCAGAATTTCTGGCTTCTAAAACCAACTAATATGAACTAAGGAAAAGGTATCGAAATCTTTAATTCAATGAAGCAAGTTTACTCATTCCTTCTTAACAAGCCATAAGAGCAGTTATGGATTGTATAGAAATATATAGAAAGACCGCTACTCTATCACCAAAGAAAATTTGACATAAGAGTATTAGCCTTAGGCACAAATGAGTTTGATCTTCACTTTTATAACATAGGATATATGAGAACAAGCTCTGATGCATACACCTTAGATAACAAGAATAAGTTTATTCATTTAACCAATAACTGCTATTAAAAGAACTCTAATAACTATTAAAAATTTGAGCAAGGTAATCAGCTAACATTCTCATAATTTTAAGATTATCTTGACTAAACCTTCCCTGAATTAGAAGTAAAATTTGAGGATTTGATGCTTAGAATTAAGGATCTAGTTATCGATTGCTTTGTTGCTGGTTTGAATCATTACAATCCAAAGAATAGAGAAAATATATTTGAAGTTATGGGTTATGATTTTATGATTGATGAAGACTTTAGGGTTTGGCTCATAGAGGTAAATACCAACCCATATTTTGGAGTACTCAATGATAATCTGCCTAAATTTATAGACAACCTTGTTGATGATACTTTTAAGCTTACTGTCGACAAAATATTTCCGAGAGAATTGGATGACTCAGATAGAAAATCAGAATATGAATTACTCTATAGTTAGAAATAAATAGTCAACAAAAGAAGGCCATTTAATGAAGGCATATATCCTGTCTAAAAAATAAAAGATAAGCTAGACTTGGAAAGAGAATAGTATATGTAAAAGATGAAGGCTAATAAGGAAGATGTCAATTAATCTACAAATTAAACTCTATTAGTCCAAAATGGAACCTAAATCAAGAATAAGCTTAAAATTAATAAAAATTTCTATATGACTATAGAGGGTTCAACCAGATCAAAATCAGCATTATCATTCGGGATAAAAGAAGGGTAAGAAGGGAAAAAGTAACGAAAGAAGCAATCTAAAAAATTTAAGCAAAATATAAATTTTAACAATAGTTCTGCTATACAATCTAACGATGACATAATAGCATTGTCTAACTAAAATTCTAAGGTTGCAATGTTAGCTAAAAACATATCTCCAATCAGTGAAAATAAACATGAAAACAGAGATAAAGACTATGCTGATGGAGGGGGAACAACAAAAAATACTATGGCGTCAACTTAATTAACCAGACCACACTAGCAACCACTAGGTACCACAAGTTTGAGTATCTTGCTTCGCAAAAAAGCAGAGGAGAATTAGAAAAACTCTTTCAATCAGAATGAATATCTAAACAAGATTCAAAGAATGCTTAAAGTGAAAAATCTTGTTGATCAAATCAAGGAGTCAATCTCTAATGTTGGGGAAAACTTTGAATAAAAGAGAAAAGAATTCAATAAGCTATTTACTTAGATATTTCAGATACTCTCGAATCCAGCCACATCAAGCAAAAAAGACGTTAATACAGCAATTCAGGGTCTTAGGCATCTTATTTTTTCTCAATTCATAATCCACTTTAATGACAAAGCAGTCATCTTGAAATTATTTGATATAATGCGGAATCAGAATAATCAACATCCAGAGATAAAGGAGAATATAGCTAAGTATCTGCATGAGTTATCTAAGCATATTAGTATTAGAGAACTCTTCTTGAATAGAAAAGTACTTTCTCGGTTCACCAAAATACTAATAGACACTATGATAAGTGTAGAGGATGGTCAAATCAATAAAGAATACTCAAAACTCTTATTATAGCAGCTTTTAATAGTTTCTTCTATTTCTAATAGCAAGTATTACATACCAGGCGAGACTAAGGAAATTGAGCAACTTCGGAAAAAATCAATTATGAATGGAGTGATGATAATATCAGATATGATAATCAATTTATGCAAAGACACTGAAGTAACTTAGAAATTGAAAAGTGAGTTGTTTGAGAACTTAGAAATTGGTGACTTCAGACTGAATATATTCACAATTTACTATCACTTCAAGAACTACTTAGATTCAAATATAACTTAAGAGAATAATCAGAATTTCAATGGATAGACTAGTCCAAGAACTTCAAGAGAAACTAAAGTTCAATATGATGTAGAGGAGCTGAAAGAAAAATTAAAAATTATAGAGCAAGATCTAGTCTTTATGGGAGTAATCAGTTATATTGATTCTAATTTCAAATAATTCAAATCAAGACTACCAAGTATTTTGGAACAGCAAATAGGTTTCTTCAATATAGATTACTTGATCACTCAATTTGAAAGGTACAAGTTGCATTATACGAATTTATCAAAGGATGCTACTTTGGCGCTCTAAGTATACTCCTCAAATACTGGTTCGATTAAAACACCAAATAAAAATATCAAGACGCTGGCAAGAAATGATTCTAGCAAAAGAATTGTATTCAAGTCTAATTAAGATTACTTTCCTGTCTAAACTTCAACTGAGAATACAGAGACATATTTCCCAGATACCTCAAAGCCAAAGAATCAGAACAAAACACAGACCAAGAAGAAATCAGATAGACTATTCAGCAACGTAGATACAAATTAAAATACCATAACAAAAAATTAAAAATCAGAGCTTATCTAAGCAAGCAATACATTCTATGCTTAAGCTAAAGCTCACTCAATTAAAAAGCATGAGGCAAACAGGAATTCTCAGCCGAATAACAAATCTTTTGAAAAGATTAAAGATACATTAAGAGATGGCGATATGCTGCAAAGACCTGCCGCATAAGAGAACAAATCGACAAAGATAAAATCATTAAGAACTAACCTGGTAAGTAATACACTTCTCCCTATTCTATCCTAGGAGAACTATGAGTAAAGCAGAGAGGTTGTAAATGCATTAGCTTTGAATTACAACACCTCTAAAGATTAATCTTTAGTATTACCGACTCTTGGTGGTCCAACAGAATAAAATAGCACTAAAAAATAAACTGCCTAATTTGGAGTTAATGGTAATTTTTACAACCCAGGTATCCAAAATAAGGTCATCTAAGACGCATAGTTATACTTAAAGTTGTAGCCATATCTTTAAAACAACTCAGTAACTTCTAAGAGTTCAGGTAAAAAGAACAGTGCAAAAGGATATCCTAAAAATGAATATCAAAATCATCCTTCAAACTAATCCTCCCTTATCTTAGGAATATAGATCAAGAAGGATGAGTCAATTAACATCCTTCCTCTTACCTCCAACATAATGAAGAATAATTACTACAAAAGTGGCTTTATGAGCAAAGTCAAAAAGAATACTAGCATCCACTAAAGTGAGGCTGGAACTTTCTACAATAACATGTCTAACTTTCAGAATTCTGTTATCAGCTTCCCCTTGAAAAAAGCATCTCAAATCATTGGAGAAACCTTACCATCAGAGTTAAGAAGCGAAAGAACATTAATTACTGACAGATATGAGCCTATAAAGCAACTAGATACTGAGTGAAAGTTATTATAAGAATTCAATGATGCAATATTTCATTAACAACTAATTATATTAACTGCACAGACATATTTTAACCATGTGGGGTTTTGGGGTTTTGGGGTTTTGGGG